ACCCGAAGGATGGACATATTTGAAACACGGACTTGGAGGGGGGACCAAGGGCAACATACGTAACCTAAACATCTGTACCCCCATAATATGCTGAAATAAAAAAAAAAAAAACATACTTCCTGCCCCTAATCTTTAAAATCAGTTTTCCTGATCCAAGTTTATAAATGTATAGAAAACAAAAAATAGACCAAATGTTGGCATACGAGGGCAGGGCCTAGATTTTTACTTTCCCCTTTTCTGTGTTTTTCTAGATACCCAATACATTTTTAACCAGGAAAAGACCGAACAAATATTACTATACCTGAATCAACTATATTTAAATAACACACGGCAAAAGTTGAAAAAAAAGAAACCCAAAATAATGGTTATTTCTGAGTGACTCAAGGGTGTTTTCATTACATATTTTCCAAATTTTCTATGTGTATGTATGACCTTTGATAACTGCAAAAAGATCTAGTTACGTGGTTGCAGCTTGCAGTCTCCCCTGCACAGGAAGTTACGTGGTTAATCGCTGGAACCTGGGAGCACCATGGGCACCACGTTCTGCCCCCACGTGCAGACACAGGGATGTGTGCTGCCGTGGACCAAAGATGGTGTGCAGGAGGGAGATGCCACTGAAGATTCCTTCTTTCTAGGACTCACTCTGGATGAGACTGGTTCTACTTGCTTGGAGTATAAATTTCTTCACTAGACTTGCAATCCTGTATTTGCATTGTAACACTCTTGTGTTTGCTTCTCTGGCGTTCTGCCCCAGGTTTAGACAGTACTGGGAGAGCATCCTACATTTTGTTGAAAATACCATTTGTCTTCACCGTGCCAATACCTATCCCTCTTCCATGGTCAACAGGATGACAGTGGAGGTCCGATCTTCTGAAGGGGAAAGCCCACTGTGGACTAGAGCCTGAACTTGCCCACCAGGCCGCAACAATAGGAGATTGTAAGGTTAGCACTAGATTAGGGCAGATGTGTTAAGAACCACGACACCCGTTTTCACAGCAGTGTAGTTTACAGTGGTGATGTCTGGTATGGACTTAAGTCTCCTGTACAAACTACCCACGCGATAAAAAGAGCAAAATTTTGGTCTTTTTTTACAGTGCCTGCAGTCAAAAGACCCTAAATCACTGTCACCCAAAGAGTGAGAAGCAAAATACCTAATACTCAGAATCACCTAGGGGTGCTGATTTAAAAAGTTCCTGGAGGCTGGTTGCGGTGGCTCACGCCTATAACTCTAGCACTTTGGGAGGTCAAGGCAGGAGGATGGCTTGAGGTCAGGAGTTTGAGACCAGCCTGAGGAAGGGTGAGACGGTGTCTCTACTAAAAAATAGAATTAGCCAGGGTACTAAAAATAGAAAAAATTAGCTAGGTGTGGTGGCACACACCTGTAGTCCCAGCTACTCAGGAGGCTGAGGCAGGAGGACTGCTCCAGGCCAGGAGTTGGAGGTTGCTGTGAGCTAGGCTGATGCCACGGCACTCTAGCCCGGGCAACAGAACAAGACTCTATCTCAAAAAAAATAAAACAAAATAAAAAAATAAGAAGTTTCTAGAAACTCCAGGGACCAGTGATCTCCATTTTAAATGCTCTTTAACCTATGAGTATCTCAACGAAGAATAAAAAAGAATTATAGATATGTAGATTCTATAAAATGAAATGTTGATATCTAGACATTACAATCGGTTGATCTGCTGCTATTTATTTACCAGCATCATCATCTCTGCTCAATAAGCTGACAAAAACACATAAACATTTGAATCTCTCTCGAGGTGGTGGCTTTCAAGGTCCAGGCACATCACTTTTTGCTTTTTAACACACTGACTGCCACACTAGAAAAAAAAATTTTTTTGCTTGGGGCCACGGTGTTTTATTACAAAAACAGAATAAAAACTTTGAAAACAAAATAATCTTAATTTAATGAAAAATGTAATGAAAAAATTTACTGACTTCTATTCATTCAATCCACGTTTTTAGAACTTGTCAATATTAATTGTAACAATAAGAACATCAATGAGATTTTCACAAACCAACTGCAGGGTTTTGCTCACGAGGCCCCAGGCTCAAAACTAACATGAGTTAAATACAACTCACACAGCAGTTATATGTATTAACACATTATCTTAATCAATCTCATATACACATCCTTTCAAACTGCAAACTAAATATATTGTTGATGTTAATAATGGCTCTCAAAAGTTTTTGCTATTTCCACAACTTTATTAAAATAAACAAATATATAAAAGGAAAACAATGAAAAACGGGGACCTCTATCAACTTTATTAGCTGCAATGATTTGCATTTGTAATTATATACCATAAACTTTATATAACATATAATTATAACAAAAACTTTAGTTTTGAAAATGTTTTATTCAAGAATTACATAATTTCAGGTATCTTCCAAAATACAGTTTCCTAGATTGCTACAAAAGAAAGCAAATTCAATAAGAAATTTAAATCATTAAATATGTTTCACTAATATATACAAACAGAATGCCAAGCAATAATATTTAGCCCTGGAATGCGTACCACGTCTTTGTTTTTTTCTCATTAAAGGCTCAAACCAGCACTTTGTATAGGCTATGTACAACAGGCGAAGTTCCACGTTCGTAGGAGTTTGACATTAACCACCTTAATCTATAGCTGCGGCAGTTTGTCCACTGGGGTGTCAAATTTGAAGTCTGTGGGGAACAGGTCTGGGGCTCGAGGATAGATGAGCCTGTAGGACTGTCTGATTGTAACATCAGCAACACCAGCAATATCTCCAATTTCTAAAAGACAAAAATCAAAACATTAACCACAAATACTAACCTACCTCCTTTCTATTACTTACATTCTAATTTGTGAGATTTGGTAGTATAAAGTGCCAAACCGAAAAACAAAACCAAGATACTGATTTTTCAAAAACGACAATGGAAATGACATGTTAAAAGGCAGAAAGCAGTAGCTAAAGTCAATAACAATAATAGTGGTAGTACTTATTACCTTAAAGGGTTGTCATTGTTTTAAAAGGTTCAATTTATGTAAAACATTTGAACAGTGCTCAGAGCATAGCACTATGAGCGATAACTATTATGTTGGGCATTGTATTTAGAACTGACTGCTCTTTTTTCTTTATAAATCTTTTTAAGGATCACAGAAGTAATCCATGAATACATTCTTATAAAAAAAATTCACTTTCATTTTTGTGTTTGAAAGTTCCCCTGCAACATTTCCCCTAGCTAACTTCTGTTGAGAGGTCCTTGTTAAAAACAAAATGAGATACTATAAATATTGTTCCACAATCTTTTTCTACTTAATACAGAGATCAAACAGCTATATATTAATATTATAGGGCATAAGTCGATTTTTTCACTATTGCAAACACATACTTGAGCATACATTTAGAGCTCACGTGAACATCTCTAGTCTTATAGAATCTTAATAGATTCACTTTTACCCTTTAAGTCATTAAATGTCACTTTTTTCCCTTTTAAAGTCATTAAAAGCAATACCCTTCCCTGGGCAGGGAAGAAATGGACCTTAAATTTCAAGAAAACCCTTCATTATAAAGCATAAGCAGCAGAAAGCACCAAGATAAATGTTTTTGTGTTGTTGATTTTTTTTTTTTTTTTTTTTTAAAGAGATGGGGGTCTTGCTTTGTCACCCAGGCTGGATTGCAGTGGCTCAATCACGACTCACTGTAACCCTGAACTCGGGCTCATGCAATCCTCCATCTAAGCCTCCTGAGTAGCTGGAACTACAGGTGCAAGCCGTTGTGCCCAGCTAATTTTTTTATTTTTTGTAGAGACGGGGTCTCACTATGTTCCGCAGGCTGGTCTCAAACTCTTGGCCTCAAGCAATCCTCCCACCTTGGCCTCCCAAAGTACTAGGATTACAATTGTGAGCCACTGTGCCCAGCCTTGTGCTCTCAACTAGAATAAACTACAATTAGGAATGAAGGTGAGGACATTCTGCCTAGCAGTAACATCTTAATTTTACCAAAAGACTCAAAATTTCCTTAAAAAATGAGTGGAGGCCAAAGGGAATAGATAATGGTGCACTTAAATATCTAATGATTGGCTTCCTCACTCTAATCATCCCACTGTATCATTTATTATTTTATCAATATACAGCCTAAGCTTAGGTGAAAGGCTGTTCTGAATAGGGTATTACAAAGTTATTGAAGCCAGTAATTCATTAACTTACTTTTAAGTTAAGAAATTGACTTCTTTCTCTTTGTAAATCTTTAAGGATTACAGAAGTAATTCATGAATATATGCATGTGAAGAAATGCACTTAATACTTCTGTATGAAAGTTTCCCTACAACACTGAATTCAAAATGAACTTAAAAGGTTGAAACCACTTATATCTACTTATTTCATAATTTTTATGAAGAAACTGTGAATATTACACAAAAAGAGAAAAAGAACAGGCTTCACAGAATGTTAAAGGTTGACGGTCAACACGTTTACAGTTTGTCTATCTATAGGGTACCATGCTGGGCAGTGAGACACAAAGTATGCCCCCTCTTCTCCAAGATTTAAAAAGGCATGTTTGGGGAAGAAAAGAGTATTCAAAATGACCGGAAATATTTAGGGGGAAAAAAAGAACTTCTAAAAATAAAAAATGTACAAACTAAAACTAAATAATTCAAATGAGAAAAAAAAAGTAAGTTTGTACACAGGGTCATGCCTCCAAACATTTTTATTTATGAAGCACTTAAAAGCAAAATACTGTATTTTCTTAAGCGTTGATGCTGAGGAACTACGTCTTAAGTGTGGGTTTTGGATATTGACCTGCCTCACACTTAAAATGGAAAAACGATCACACGCCGCTACAGCCCTTCACAATTTCATTACCACCTTCCAGATACAGAACTCTACCTTTTTGGGTCTTCTTCTCAGCCGATGCTTGTGAGGCCATGTAAATTGCTGCTGCTGCCACAGAAATGGGGCTCCGCCCAGGAACCAAGTCCAGTTCCACAGCTTTACGGGCGATATGTGTAGCCGCCATCTGCACTTGTTTAGGAAGACAAAGGTTGGAACAGAACCTGGACATGAAGTCTCCAGTTGTAATCAAATCCACGCTGGTTTCTAAAGCTTTCAAAATAAGTTTAAAACATCGACCAATTTCTTTCTTAGAAATTCGTGATACGGCACATATTTCTGAAAGAAAAAAAAAATTTAAATACATATAAGCTACATGGTTCATTTTAAACCTATCATTTCTGATTACAAAAATAATACATTCTAATTGAAAAAAATTCAATCTTGCCTTAAAGATGAAACCTTAATCTTGTCAGTGATACTTCCTAGAAAGCTCATTTAAAATTTCTTGCTTAATTATGTTCATCATACTTTAAATTTAGGTCTTGATCTTTCAAAATATTAACTTCTCTTAAATTTCAATTCATGCAAGTAAGTTTCTTCAACTTATTATCTTAAACAAAAACTTCCTTGATATTTATACATTAATCTGTTGTAAAGAGTGTATAAAGGAAATGAAAATGATAAGTATTAGTGTCGTGACACAATGTCATGTGTACCTGCACTCCCTGTGATTATAGGCTATCACTCAGTGAGATAAAATACTGACCTTGTTACTCTAAAGATTCAACCACCGTACACTTTCAGAATAAATTTAACAAAAGCCTGTTTTAGCTGTAATAACAACAAAAAACGTGATAAAGGCCATCGTCTCTTCACTTTCACATAAGAAAACAAGTAAAAAAAATTAAATATTAGTTGGATGAATCAAGGGTAAGTACAGTCTTCAGCTAAACTGAGATTTGGCTGTGAAAGTCAGTGTATCATTGCAACACTGTGAATAAGTTGTCACATATTCATGGGTAACTGCAAACTGGATGAAAAATACCAGTTCTTTCAAAGCCTCCAACTTAAGTGTGAAAAGTGTAAACACTGTATCTCAAGAGAAGAAATTTCACTAACACGTTCGAAGGCTTGACTCCCTCACCTGTAGAAACCTATGCTAGGAGTGGGAACTATTTTCATGCATCAATGAACAGACTTACCACAAAAGGCCTACTTAGGCTTATGATGCCAGGCCTCAAAGCCCACAACATAGTCAAAAGATCTTACTAGCAAAGAACATAGTCGACTTAACATGGACTAAAACAACCCAGTATGCATGGGCAATAAGATCACAGTATTAATTTGTCATCAAGGAACAAACTGATCAAGGCATGGTGGCTCACGCCTGTAATCCTAGCACTCTGGAAGGCCAAGGCGGCAGGATTGCTTGAGCTCAGGAGTTCAAGACTAGCCTAAGCAAAAGTGAGACCCCGTGTCTACCAAAAAGAAAGGAAAAAAAAAACCCAGCTAGGTGTCGCGGTGCGTGCCTGTAGTTCCAGCTACCAGAGAGGCTGAAGCAGAAGGATCGCCTGAGCCTAGGAGTTGGAGGTCGCAGTAAGCTACAATGATGCCACTGCACTCTACCCAGGACAGCAGGGTGAGACCGTCTCAACAAAAACAAACAAGGAAACTAAGTACCCCTCCTCACAATCCCCTACCCCTTCATTAAATAAAAAAAAAAAAAAAAGTAGGCACTGGCAAATAATGCTCAAGTAGACTGTTGTACATAACAGCACAGACATGACTTAGCTTCTAAATGTCAAAGCTGCCTAACTTTGGTCTGTTACTTTAATATGATGTAGATAATGATATTTTTATCTATGTAATAAAAGCTTACCTTTAAATGTCCTAGGAACTCCTTCTTGTCTACAGGCAATATAGAGACAAGCAGAAGCTATGGCATCATTAGCTCTTCCCTTTAGGCTCTTCTGTTCATACACTTGCTTGAATAAATTATTTGTTCGATCCTTCAAAGCAGAGAAACTCAGTTTAATTAACTCTATGCCGGTTAATTAGTTGCAGTATCAAAATTTCATGTGTTCATTAAATTATGTTAAGTTAATGCCAGAATGGCTTAAACTTACAACTATATTTCGAGGTAGGTTGATTCTGTCTGCCATGGTAGTAATTTCTTTGAATGCATTCATCATTGCCCGATCAGAACTACTCATTGTTCTTCGATTTTGGTACTTAGAATTGCCAAATTCGTCAAAACTTGCAGCTCCTGTACCCTGTAAAACAAAGTTTTATAACCATGCAAAAAATTTTTGGAAAACCTGAATGAACAATTTCTATGAAAATATAACTTATATGATCTGATTCCACATATCCAGGAAATCTGCACTGTGCAACCTGCCTCTCTTTCAAATAAAAATGTACCACGGTTAAGATTTTTTTAACAGGTTTTCTATCAGATACTTAAGGAATATGTAATTCTAAACAACTGTTCGAGAAAATGGAAAACTTAAAGTGTATAAAGTGAATATAAAAATGATATCTAACTTTATAAAACCGAATGGGGAAAAGTCCAATTTCATTTATAAATATGATATAAAATATTAAATACTAGAAAGCAGAATCCAACAGGATATTAAAAGGTAGTATATTATGACCAAGTATAAACTGTTCCATAAATGCATAGATATTACTAAAGAATCTAGTAATATAAAACACCATATTAATAGATCTAAGGAGAAAAATCATATCATTTCCAAAGGTGCTAAAAAGGCAAGTGAAGAAAACTCAAAATTCATTTTTGATAGAGAACAGTACAGATGAGTACTTCTTCACATTAGAAAATCACTCTCCCAGGCCCAAAGCCACCACTAAGATTACTAGAGAAATATTAGCAGCATCACCATCAAAGTCAGAAGCAAGACAAAGGCAAATCCTACCACTATCACTTTGCAACATGGCACTAGAAAAACTAGCCAATATTATTAAGAGAAGAATCAGAAGTACAAAATTGGAAAGCAGGTGATAAAACTATTCGCAGGTATTATCTTTGTATACTAGAATACTCAAGAAAAATCACTAAAAAATCTCACTATTGCTATAAATTAGAGAATTCATTAAAGTGGCAAGGTCAAGATTAATAAACAGAAATCAATACCCTTCATATGTACCCAGCTAGAGGACAACGAAAGAAAATATTCCAATTACAACAGCAACAAAAATCTAGGAGTAAACTTAAGAAGCATAAGATGTTAGGAAAAAAACTTTAAAACATCTCTTGAAGGACACATAAGAAACCTAAGGAAATGGGAAAGCACACCATGTTTTTGCATAGAAGATTTATCACAATGAAGTCAATTTTCCCTATGTGAATTTGCGAATAAATCTAACCAACATCCCAGTGAAAATAATAACCAATTTTTTTTTTTAAAACTAAACTAAGTGATCCTAACTTTTAAGTGGAAAAAACCAATGAAGAAAATGCTGAAAAAGAAGAGCAACGAGGGAGGACTAGTGCTACTGGGTACTAAATCAGTGTGCCATGGCATTCGACCAACTGGACCAAGATAGGAGAAGATAGGAAGTCCAGAAATAGTACCAAGTGCATACAGAAATTCAGTGTATGATAGATGTAGCATCTTCAAAATTTTTCTTTCCTTTTCTCCATGAAAGCATAAACAACTTTCAAAGGATACAGAAGAAACTAATAGTAGTGGTTACCTGTTTGGGGGAGAGAAAGGAGGTTAGAGTGGAAACTGAGAGTTTGGGGTTTGGGGATCAAGGGTTGTTAGGTCTGTTCCAGGTGGGATGTATAGGATGGAAAAGTATGTATAGGCTGGAATGCGGTTAATAGAAAACTGAGGTTTGTGAAACAATAGCCGTAGCTATCTGTTAGATTTTACAACCTCCAGTGACTCTCCAGACTCCAGGAAAGTTTACTGTATTTTTTTTTTTAACCCTTTTTTGTTTTTGAGTCATATATTTCCTATCGAAATAAAAAAAGTCACATTGTCAATTAGTTGGAATCTTGTATTTTAAAATGTGTCTGTAGTCTATTTTTTTTTCAGCCTGTAAGGCTAAAGCAAATTCAGAAATAACCTACTTAAAGATATCTCTGAATACTGTAAAACTTTTTAACCTAGCTTATACTGTTTTTCAAATTTGATATGCTATTTATTAGAGCATGAAAAATATAATAACCTTTTTTTTTTTTCCCACAAACTTTCTTTAAAAAATAGTATATGCTTCCTTGATTAGTCCTTTGGAATACTGTCATTATTACTTCCAATATAGATAACAGAGCAAAAAAGAGAGCCAGGTTGCTAGGAAAGTTGTGTAACTGCTTTACGTAACAGCAGCTATTTACTGAGCATGTAGTACACAATACATGTTGTATTATAAATACTTTACAAATGTTCCCATGAAACCCTCAAGATCTCTAAGAAGTACTATTATTCTCATTTTACAAATGAGGAATATGAAGCTTAGGAAAGTCATAAATTCACTAATAATAGAAAATAAGCTACAATGAGCTCCCATTTATCTTAGGTGGTGTGGAGGGAAGAGAAAACATTCTTGATATTCAAGGAACATATCAGTATTAACTCACAAAGATCATACTATATTCAACTCGTTTTTTTGTGCAAAATGTGCTTTATGAAAAAAAGTCCTAAGATATAAAGACTCTGTAATTTTGATTTGATGGTCTCCCCTTTGAGATGGAAGAAACACACAAATCAGCCATCATTCACAATGGTACTAATGGCAAATCTTGTTGACAGGTCAATATTCTCCCATTGGGGCAGTGACTGATACTTTTGCAAAGTTCTCAAACTCCCAGGTCTTTGGTTACTCTGCACTTGGTACTTCTTGCTGAATGGATTAATTACCTTGCCAATCATGGTAGACAAATCTCCATCACTCAGTAGAGGATTCTGAGAATCGCCAACTCGAGATGGATCTTTTGTTGCTTTGTCATTGCTGAAAGTTCTCCATTCAGATCCCACATCGATAACCCGGTCACCTAAGAATATAAGCATACATCTAAATCATCTTGTCAAGATATGGTTTACTTAACGACACTGTTTTTTTTTTTTTTTGAGACAGAATCTCACTCTGTTGCCCTGGCTAGAGTGAGTGCTGTGGCATTAGCCTAGCTCACAGCAACCTCTAACTCCTGGGCTCAAGCGATCCTACTGCCTCAGTCTCCCGAGTAGCTGGGACTACAGGCATGTGTCACCATGCCTGGCTAATTTTTTCTATATATTTTTAGTTGTCCAGATAATTTCTTTCTATTTTTTTAGTAGAGACGGGGTCTCGCTCTTGCTCAGGCTGGTCTCGAACTCCTGAGCTCAAACAATCTGCCCGCCTCGGCCTCCCAGAATGCTAGGATTACAGGCATGAGCCACCGCGCCCGGCCAACGACACTGTTTAATGCCTAACAGAGCTGTTTCATTCCTAGGAAATCTCAACATGGACATCTAGGTCCCAGCTTAAATATCATGTCTCAGACCTTTGTTTCTTTAACTATTGTACCACTTCAGTAAGAACCTTTTTTAAACATTATGCTATGATCACATTCTAACTCTTGGAATAAAAAAGAGTTAGTCAAAAATAGCAAAACAGAGCTATTCACATGTAATGAAAATAAAGATCAACCATTATAATAATGCTTAAGAACCAAATTTTGCACAAAAGTTGCAGCAGGTATGGGAAAAAAAGAGAACACTTTTCAGAATGGTATTCATGCACATAATATTAAAAATCATTAAGTTTTCATAAGAAATGTTTTATAGAAAATAAGCCTAAGCTTCAAATTAACTGATGAAAAATATTTTTGGCCAAAACTTAAGCCTAGAATTAGTAAGAAGAAACCCAGGTAAGCAAACTTCTTAAGTAAAGAGGCAGCAGCTAGATATATCAGGTCAAAAACAAAAACAACAGTTTTTCCTTTTGGGGGAAAAACTTATCTCTGGTAATATCTTCAGAGTAGACAAGAGTTAACACTGAACACTTACACATACTACTCATTGTGCCCTTTGCAAATGTTCTCATTTGATCCTCCCCGTTTTATAAGGTAGGTACCACTTTTATCGCCCCTTTACAAATTAGATTAACTGGCCTAAGATCACACAGCTAGAAATGAAATGCACATCAGCTTCTGGAGTATGTTCTACCCTGTATTTGGAAAACATTAGCTTTTTCAATGAAGTATGATAAAATCAAAAGCAAGAACCAGACCATTTTCATCTTTGTGTATATATAACAAGCAGAAAGAAGAAAGGAATGGTAGAAATCAGTTACTGCAGCAATGAAAAGAAGTTATGGTACTGACAATTAATATAATGATTAAGAGTACAGACTGCCACATGCTGCTTAGCCTTGGACATATCGTTTCTATGTCTTCACTTTCTCAGCTTTAAAATTCTCCATTGACCTCATATTATAAAGACTGTAAAGACTAAATAAGCTAATATACATGCACAGTGCACATAAAGTACTTAAAAAGTAGTTCTAAGTGCTCAATATTAGATATTTACTGCTATGAAAATAAAAAAATGGCAACTATTCTGAAAGTTTCTCCCTTTTTGGTGGGGTTGGTAAGGAGAGGCATCAGTTTTAAAACATTAATCTCCATATAAGACTTTAAAAGTATCAAGTGTTCTACTGCAGGTATTTGGTCAGTAGAACTGCAAAGGAGGATGGAGGGAACAGAAGGAATGAACTCCATGCTAAATCTTTTATTTTATATATTCTAATTCTAGTGATACATTTAAGAAAGCAGGCAAACGCACAACAGAATGACTTATTCCTGAAGGCTTTGGAAAATTTGTTTTTCTTTAAACAGTCACTGACCTGGGAGTAACCAAATGTCACCTGGACTATAAGATGTCCATGTCACAATGGGACTGAGATTAGAGACAGGGTCCCCATTTGCCATTCCTGTATGCAATGAGAACAGCCAGGGAGACCAGAAGTGGGGCGATCAGTTATAAGACAATTTTAGTGTATCATGTTAAGCAGGTACCCCAAAGGAGAAAAAGGTTAGATGGATGGGACTGTCATGGATTTCTGTTTCCTTCCCATAATAACAAACATCAGTAAACTTGGGAAGCAATTCTAATTATATAAATTAGATTTTAAAAACTTACCTAAAAGTATCAAAAAATCTGTCATTGTTCACTGAAGCCTTACTACCGTATTAATCAACAGGACTACATCTCAAAGAGATCACACTAAAGAGATTAATCTTTCTTCCTTTTAGAAAAGAATATTTGCTCACTAAAAAAATAGATATGTAAGAAAAAAAATTATCTGCATTCTCAACACTCAGAAATAGTCACTATAAATATTCTGTATATGTTCCTTTGCCTTTTATAAAATTTGAGTGTATAAATATTTTATATATTTTTAAAAATTAAAATTAGATCAGATTGTTTTTTTATGACAAGCTATTTTTACTAAATTTATATCATAAACATAAGAATAGTGTTTTAAGGCAATATTTAGCCCTTTTAGTACCATCCACCAATTAAAGTGATACCATGGTATTCCCATGCACTTACGTTTTCAGAGGAGAAAAGAGAATCTAACTTTCCTATTTGGCAAAAAAAACCCCCACACAAACATGAAAAAACAAAAATAATTATGGCCTTTTTAAACCTGGAGTTACTAAATTGTAAGTTCAAAAAAAGTCAAATGTCTTCATTAATCTGTAATATTTTCATTAACACAAATGTATTAGGAGAAGACTACAAATGAAAAGGCAGGTAGGTATGTCCACATCTTTTAAGTTTCTCTAGAAATCTAGTGATAAAGCATTAGCCAAGATGCTTCATTTCACAGCATTTTCCTTTTGGCCCCAAAGTACCTTACCACGAGTTTCATTTATTAATATTACTTGCTTTATATTGCCTTTAAAAAGACAAGTTGGATTTTAAAAAAGGTAGTATAGTATACCTAGAAAACCCAGCACTGGGTAGTGATATAATTTTTCCACATACATAGGAATGATCTAAATGACTCATTCAAGAATCTGTGGTTTGTGCTGAGAACAATTCCCTCTTTTTATATTAATATTTTACTGCTCAAAGAGCATTTATAAGGAAGAAAATTCCTAAAATAACTCCATTAGCACACCATGAAACTACAAACAGCCCAGAAAAAGTGCATGAGTAACAAGAAACAGGGCAAGACCATTGAAAAAAAATCAGAATATATAAAAGATTTTTATTTGAAGAAAATTTAAATGGGGTAATATTTTAAAAGTTGCTCTGGAAGAAAACTGCAATACAGAATCTTTTCGAGGGGTAAGTTGTACAAGGCCGCCACTATTTGGGTATAATCAACCTTTAACAAGGAAGAAGCCTGCCAATTAACATACACACACCCCTTCTAATATCTTTTAATGTTCTAGAAACAGAAAAAACATGCCAACTTGTACTAGTTTCCTTCTTAACCACACACTGATTTCTGTATAATTAACACCAGATAGAAAGTCTATATATGAAGATTTCTAATATCCAAAATAATAGCACTACAATATATACATAAGAAAGCACTACTCCTCCCTCCATCATAGAGTATGATCTCTAACACTTTTAATCAAGTTCCCCAACCAAAAAAGTAAACACACCCAATGTATATATTTACATATTACACACACATATAGCTCTCAATCCATGTATTAAAGCGATGTCTAAAGTATTAACTAAAATATTTTACCTTATTCTGAAGAGAATGAGTTTCATCTCTTGATTTTTCAGGAAGAAACTGAAAATAATTGTCAAAATCACTTGCACCTGTTTAAAGTGGTGCAATCACTTTGGCACCTAACTTAGGATTTGGCAGTTCACTCGTTAAGTGCAGTTGGCATCCTGTATCAGTATGTTCTGCATCCGTGCTTTTAGCCAACTCCAGATCAAAAATATTTGGGAAAAAAAAAATCACATCTGTAGTGAACATTTATACTTCTTTTCCTTGTCATTATTCCCTGAACAAGACAATATAACTATTTACATAGTATTTACATTGTACAAGCATTTTAAGTAATCTAGAGACAATTTAAAGTATATGGAAGATGTGCACGGGTTATACGCAAATACTGTGTCATCTTATACCAGGGACTTGAGCACCTGTGGATTTTAGTATCCCAGGAATATCCTGGAACCAATCCCCCATGGACACTGAGGGATGGAGGGTATTTACCTACAAAAGTTTCATATAAGAATGTTCATAGCAGCACTATTTATAATTAGCTAAAAATTGAGAACCCATCAGCAAGAAAATGTGTACAGTACAATATGTCTCAGCAAATAAATTACTGATACATGCAATAACAGAAATGCATTTCAAAGTTTTTGAAAAATTTTTGAAATGTTTTTGAGCCAAAAATGTAACAAAAAAGTCCACACTGTTATGATTTCCTTTATATGAAGTTGGAAAAAAAAATGCCAAAATGATCTATGAGATTAGAATTCACTACAGTGGTTGTTGTGTGGAGCTAGGGGTAATTGGAAAATGGCATAAAAGAATTCCTGAGGTGAGGGAAAGGGCTGCTATACCTTGATGAGGTTGTTGGTTATACCAGTATAAGCACTGTCAAAATTTAAACTAGACATTTGGGACCTGTGCATTATGCAATTATACCTCAATAAATTAAAAATTAAAATTCACTCCCACCAATATGCTGTTGATTTTGAACTAAACTACACCAAACCTATATATTATTTTAGGATAGAACAATTTTTATCAATCATTTTTGGCAGGGAATACTCTCCTCGAGGTCTTCTTTTAGATTTCAAAGTATTATGTATGTTACATTTAAGATTTTTTTTTTTAATTTCATTTCAGCACATTATGGGGGTACAGATGTTTAGGTTACGTTTGTTGCCCTTGCCCCCCCGCCCCACCAAGTCCGGGTTTCAAATATGTCCATCCTTCGGGTGGTGCGCATTGCACTCTTTGTGTATGCATAACATTTAAGATTTTCTTACATTAAAAATCACATTTTCTAACTAGCAA